CTAGCAATCTTCAACAACTTTTTAAAGGATCAGCCGAACTAGCAAGCCTCAACAATATTTTAATTTTTACACCAGGAGCCAAAGTTCTGTTTCAGGAAATCACATCCCCAGCAATCGGCGGTTGTAGGATTAAGATGTACAAGGGTTCATACACTGCTAGTTGGCAGTGTTGTACATATATTGTACAATTGCTGCCAGCTAGTTAGTGTCAAATTGAACTTGTGCTTTAGAATTAGCTTCTGTTAATTTTTCTATAGAATAAGCCTTTTTGAAGGTGTGGACCTAAATATTTTCATAAGCGCTTAAGAAATTGCGGAGCTAATTTTTGGATCAGCGCTGCCCGCCACTGGTGTTAAATTATTTTTAAACTGTCACTAGGTTTAAGTGAGAGCCTTGTTTATCTCGATATGTCCCTGTGATGGACTAGCAACTTGTCCAAGCTGTCCCCCTTCTGTCTCTCGGTGATTGCTGGAGACAGGCACCAGCACCTCTGCGACACAGAAGGGAAAAAAACTGTTAAAAAGGGATGAATGGATAACATGACCTGGTTGTCCCTCAGCTGCAGCGACCCTCTCAAAGCTTATTTGTTTTCCTCCAAAGCAGAAGACTTGGTGAACTCAGACATGTTTCATTTAAAGCCCTGTGGCTGCATGAATATTTAAAGGACCTCTCTGCTTGGTAAAAACTGACTCGCAGAAGCCAGAAGGTAACACTGCCTCACTTTTCTTATTTTACCAGTAATKCAGATCAACTCGACTCTGCAGTGACTGTTGTTCCTGATGAGCTGCACTTCAGGCAGAGCCGGTGACTCGATTTTTCTCTGACATTCAGAACTCCAGGTTTTAACTGTGTTCTTGTTTTGCTGTGTACCAAAGAAAAGCTGCTGCTTAGGTGAAAATAACTCATATTTAAGTTTAATATTGAGCTGAAGGACTGAATCAGGGAAGGTGTCATGTTCTGATCTAAACTTTTCTCGTCATTCTGCTGATTCAGTATTCTCATTTTTGTTTTCTTGTTTTTAGTACTTTTGTTTTTTGCAGTCAAACTACTTCTGCACACTTTGTACAGTTTATGTGTGCTTTATTTGGTATTTGTATTTATACTTTTTGTATTACATTACTACTGTTTTATCACACAATTAATATGTATGGCAGGGTGTTGTGTTATATAATTGAAAAATATGGAAGGTCACTGTAGCATATAATTGACGATTACTGACAGGTTGTTGTGTTATAATTAATTAAGTATGGCAGGC